GCAGCTCCGACTTCATAAGGGCCAGTGCCTTAGTGTCAGCAGTGGCAAAAACCAAGTCATCGATGTACACGAGGATGTAGAACGACGGCAGCGAAGTGTCGGTGCGCAGAAATAGTGATGGGTCTGAAGTCGAAGGAGCAAACCCAAGAGCCGCAAGCGTCGTCCTTAGTATGTCGTGCCACTCGCGAGGCGCCTGGCGGAGACCGTAGACTGGCCGTTTGAGGCTCCACTGAGTACCCTCAGGAAACGACCCAGTAAAGCCAGGTGGGCGGCGCAGCCAGATCTCCTCATGCAGGCTGCCTTGTAAGAAAGCTGTGCTGAAGTTAAGAGAGTGAAGCTCGTAGTCATGCTCAGCGGCGACGTGCAGCAGCACTTGAAAAATGGTCATCTTCGGGGTAGGGGAGAAGGTCTGGAAGAAGTCAACTCCCTGTTGCTGACTAAAGCCTCGTGCAGCGTAACGAGCCTTGAAGACAGGCGGAGAACCCGGCGGCCGCTTCACCCTGAAACTCCACATGCCCATCGACTATATTCACCTCAGGAGGGGGAAATGCGTCGACATAAGTGCCTGTGGACTTCTGGGATGCCATCTCTGCGTCCATGGTTGTCTGCCACTGAGAGGAGTAGGGACCCGTAATCGCCTTTGCGTAAGAGCGTGGGGTCGGGATGTCTAGTGCATGCGAGTCTCCCTCAGGTGCAAGGAGCATGGCCACGAGATGAGGTACAGCAGCTACAAGACACTCAAAGTCCTCCTGCCTCTCCTCAAGGATGTCCGTGCCAAGAGCACACTCACCCCCGACGGACGGAGGATAGTCAGACTCAGACTCAGCAACAAAACTAGATGCGTACTCGAGACGACACGCAGCAACAAAGTCAACAAGCTCAGCAACTAGGGCTGACGCAACAGTGGACTCAAACAAAGGGTTAGTGACAACAGTGGCTAGAAGACGTGTGACAGTAGGGCTGGCAGCACGAACCAAGTCAGACTCAGGGTCCGGACAGTCAGCAAGAGAGAACGCAGGAGGAGACGACAGAAGGACACGTTGTGAGCAGAGTAAGGACGAAGTGCCATATTGTAAGTGCCGGGGACAGGAGGAGGACGCGGGCGAGGAACACGGCGACCAGTGCGAATAGCGCGAACAGGCGAGGCAGGACAAGACGCAGGCTCACGACGCTCTGTAAGAGAGTCTGTTTACTAAGTGTAAGGAGAAGGAGCAGGCAGTGAGGAGTCTAACTGTAACTGTGGCTGCGACTAGTAAGGTGGTGGACACAGTAAGGGAGGAGTAAGGCCAGTAGAAGACGGGAGACTAAGAACCTGGCGAAGTGCCGAGCCAGGTGGCGGTAGAGACAACGGCAGCGGTGGAACGAAAAAGGATCGCCGCTGCACAGTGCCACCAGCGCCAGTACCGCCAGCTCCAGCGCCCCCAGTGCCAGCACCTCCAGCTTCAAGGCACCCAGCTCCAGCACCTCCATCTCCGGTGCCTCCAGCTCCAGCGACTCCAGCTCTAGCGCCTCCAGCTATAGAACGTCTAGCACCTCCAGCACGAGCAGCGCTAGCACCTCTTGCACCAGGAGCACCACCAGCTCCGGCAGCTCCAGTACCTCCAGTACGAGCACCTCTAGGACCAGCAGCTCCAGCACCTCCGGTACCTCCAGCTCTAGCGCCTCCAACACCAGCAGTACCACTAGCACCTCCACGACTAGTAGCTCCAGCGCCTCCAGCCCCACTGCCTCCAGCGGCAGGGCCTCCAGCTCCAGCAGCGCCAATCCGAAGGCAGGTGTGCCGAGAAAACCACTCGCGCAGCTGCTGCGGTGAGAGAGGCTCCCGCCGGCAAGACTGCCGTGGCGAGGCACCCATAGGACCTCTGGCAGACGCAGTACCCCTAGGCTCAGCACCCCCAGACTCAGTACCCTCTGGCTCAGCACCCCCAGGCTCCACACCCTCAGGCTCAACACCCCCAGGCTCCGCACACTCAGGCTCAGCACCCCCAGGATCCGCACCCTCAGGCTCAGCACCCCCAAGCTCCACACCCTCAGGCTCCGCACCCTCAGGCTCAGCACCCCCAGGCTCCGCACGCTCAGGCTCAGCACCCCCAGACGCAGCACCCCTAGCAGCACCACCCCCAGCAGCACCAGAGTCGACAGAGACCTTGAAAGGCTAAGACAAGGGGAGTGGGTCTTTCTGAGACACACCTGAAGGAGCAGGACCCTTAGGGGGGAGGGGGTCTACCGGAGGGGGACCTAGAGCGAGGAAGAGCAATGGGGGGGGGGGGGGGAGGGGCAGTGCGGTAGTGTGCAGATCGACACATCCCAGGAGTGGTGGTATTGACTATCGCATCCTGGAGGGCAGCAGTACTCACCAAGTTCATAGAGAACGAGGAGGGGTGAAGACCTCACAGTGAGCTAGACGGAACCGCCGGACACGGGAGAATGTGCAAGAACCGGGCTTGTTGAGGGGTCGGCTAGAGAGACTGCAACATGTGCACGGAGTGGTGTGACTGTGGTACTGTCGCGAAAGAAGCAGCGCAAAGCACCTGAGTCAAGCATGAAGGTGTGCAAGGCCTCAGTAGGCGCAATACCAGAGAGATCAGACTCACTAGCACCTAGAGCAGCACCCTCTGTACTTGGGTCGGGCGGCACACACACGTAACAGTCACCCTCAGAACTAACAGTCGAAGCATACATGCCAGCAAGAATTGCGTCATAATCAAGAGCAAATATATCTACATTGTTCCTAAGCAGCTCTAGCTAGCAGGGGAGCTCAGCCTCGTCGCCAAACTCTGCGCGCCAGCGTCGTCAAGACAGGAGAAGCAGCGGTACTGTGTGTTACCAACCTTCCCGCATGTCTGACCAGTGCGGTCAACTGTGCGACTGACGTACGTGCAGCGAACACTACCCCCAGACGCCCCACGCTGAGCAAACCACTCACAAAGCTGCTGGGGCGTAATGGTCTCGCGCGGACGCTGCTGCTGCTGGCCACCGCCAGAACCTCTCCTCTGAACGGCTCCACCCCGACCGCCACCACTGCCGACGCCACCACTTCCACTGCCGCCACCACTGCCGCCGCCACCACTCCCACTGCCGCCACCACCGCCACCACCACTCCCACCGCTACCACCACCGCTGCCACCGACTCTTCCACTCTCACCACCACTCCCACCGCCACCACCTCCACCTCCACCTCCTCCACCGCCTCCACCGCCTCCACCACTGCCTCCACCGCTGCCACCCCCACCACTCTTTCCTCCCTTGCCCTTGCCGCTGCGGGGCCCCCCACTAGGAGCAGACGCAACCCCGACCTCCTCAGCACGAAGGAAGTCAATAACAGCAGCAAAGGCGAGAGGAGGAACACCCGTCAAAGAAGGGAGTGCGAGGAGTACCACGAGCAGCACCTATAGCGCCTATGCTAGCCTCAGCTGCAAGTCGGTGCTTCTCGAGTAGGTCGACAGTGAGGTCTGTGGGGTCAAGGGCAAGAAGGAGGTTCCTTACTGCACAAAGAGAGTTAGGGAGGCGGGTGACGATGAAATAGAGAGTGATGTACATAGGGGGGGGGGGGTTCTTGTCTAGAAACTTGGATTTAAGCGGCACGGTAGCAAGTGTCACTAGTGTGAAGGTGGTTGATGAGGTCGTCGACTGTGGGAAAGGCTGATAGCTCGGGAAAAAGGTAGGGCAGGATAAGTCGGCCAAGAGCATCAGTGGCAGGGGAGGAGTAAAGAGCGACTTCAGCATCGAATAGTGCTTTAGCTGTCTTGTGCTGGCCAAAGTGCGCGCGTTCGGCTAACGACAGGTGGTTGCGAACGGCGAGGCGAGCAGTAGCGTCACGGGTAAGCCGCTGTGAGCGAGTCGAACTGTCAGCTGTCTCAGGAGGAGCGAGAGAGGTCCCAGACGTTTGTCAAACAAGGAGACACCGTCCCTAGACTCGCTCTGTAGGTACAGCTGTAAGTCGTCTAGCAAGGTTTCAAACTGGATCAGACGGCCCTCAGGATCGAAGGTGAGAACACTGAGAGAAGCCAGAGCGGGCAAAGCAGGTTGGCGCGCGACCAGCAGGGCAGCACGCAAGCAAGGCAGGGCGGGGCGCAGGCAGCAGGACGGCGCGACGGGCAGGGCGGCGCGTGGGCACTAGGGAAGTGCACAGGGCAGGGTGGGTCGGCGCGCGGCCAGGGCAGGGCGGCGCGTGGGCAGGGCAGGGCAGCGCGGCGGCCAGCAGGGCAGCGTGCGGGCAGGGCAGGGCAGCGCAGGCGGCCAGCAGGGCGGCGCGCGGGCAGCAGGGCGGCGCGCGGGCAGGGCAGGGCAGCGCGCGGCCAGCAGGGCGGCGTGTGGGCAGGGCAGGGGGCAGCGCAGCGGCCAGCAGGGCGGCGCACGGGCAGGGCAGGGCGGCACGGCGGCCAGCAGGGCAGCGCGACGGGCAGGGGAAGGCAACGCGCGGCTAGCAGGGCGGCGCGCGGGCAGGGTAGGGCAGCGCACGGCCAGCAGGGCGGCTCAACGGGCAGGGCAAGGCGGCGCGGTAGCCAGCAGGGCGGCGCGTGGCCAGCACGGCGGCGCGTGACCAGAAGGGCGGCGTAACGGGCAAAGCACGGCGGCGCGGCAGTAAGTAGGGCGGCGCGTGGCCAGCAGGGCGGCTCGATGGGCAGGGCAGGCAGCGCGACTGGTGGGGTAGCGCGACGGGCAGGGTAGGGCGCTACGAGCAGGGTAACGCGCTACGGGCAGGGAACTATTCGGTGGGCCCAATAAAACGGTCCTGGAACAGGACTTGCTCTGATACCATGTCAGAATAATGAACGAGAATTACTGCATTGAGTAGGAATTTGGTACAAGTACTAACCCTAATTGGGTTGTACCCCTTATGGGCTACCCCACTACAGCCTACACAATATAAGCATTATAACATTTTGATAGAAGCAAGAGGGGCATTGGGGTGGAAGCAAGAGGGGCATTGGGGTGGAAGCAAGAGGGGAAGACGGGAAAGGAGAGAGCACGTGTGGACACGTGATAGCATAGCGCTGCTACACCACCCCATCAAACACACACTTGATTGCTCCTAGCGGGCGGTGATGAGAAGTATCGATGAGGGGCATTGGGGTGAAAGCAAGAGGGGTGGAAGCAAGAGGGGGATACGGGAAGGGTATACCGGAGGGAGTGAGCACTGGTGAGCACACAATAGCACCACCCTCTCGAACATACAATTGATTGCTCCTAGCAGGCAGTGATGAGAGGTATTGATGAGGAGCATTGATGAAGGGCACCCACACACCCACGTGCAGCACCCACACACACACACACCCATGTGCAGCACCCACCCACACACACACACACTCAAGTGCAGCACCCACATACACACACACCCACATACAGCACACACACATACGCACACTCATGTGCAGCACCCACACATACATACACCCACGTGCAGCACCCACACATCCACACACCCACCTTTGGTGCCCACAGGCTCGCGAATGCGCCCCCTACGACCGTACTTGGTAAAGAGCACCACTGGCTGGCGAGGGGGACGAGGGAGAGGGAAGTGAAGAGAGGAAGGCGGGGAGTGGGGAGTGGGAAGATAGTTGGTTGCTGCGCATATTGGTTCCGAGTGAATGTGTCCCCTTCGGCCGTACTTGGTAAAGTGCTCCACGGCGCGTGGGAAGGAGGGGTAAGTAAAGAGAGGAGAGAGGAGAGAGGGGAGTGGGGAGAGGGGAGTGGGGAGTGGGTAGAGGGGAGTGCGGAGTGGGGAGAGGGGAGTGGGGAGTGGGGAGAGGGGAGAGGGGAGTGGGGAGTGGGGAGAGGGGAGTGCGGAGTGGGGAGAGGGGAGTGGTGAGTGGGGAGAGGGGAGAGGGGAGTGGGGAGTGGGGAGAGGGGAGTGGGGAGAGGAAAGTGCTGCGCATTGTGCGTTGAGAGTGAATGCGGCCGTCCGGTCGTACTTGGTGAAGAGCTCCACCAGCTGGCACGAGGGAACGAGGGGTAAGTAAAGAGAGGAGAGAGCTGAGTGGGGAGCCGTGAGAGGGAAGTTCTGTGCATCGTGCGTTTAGAGTGAATGAGGTCCCCCTTGCCACCTGGTAAACAGCCCCACCAGCTGGTTAGAGGGATAAGGGAGGGGGTGCTGGAATGTGGGAAAAGAGGGAAGAGGGCTGAGCGTAGTGCATAGTGCAAATACAACCACACCGCCGTACTTTGGTGAAAAGGTTCCATAGAAGAAAGGGAGGCGGGGGGGTGATAGAAGGTGTTCTGAAGAGGAACGGAGGAACGGGGGAAAGGGGGATGAGGGACGTGGCATCCCTCTTCCCCCCAACCCACTCTCTTTCCTGTTTGGAACCATCTGATGTGGCACTGACCTGGAACCATCTGCCATCCTCTGGCTGGTGGAACATGTAGCGCACCACTGCCTTGCGCTTCATCACTGACGTGGGGTAGCTGCACATGGGGTTGAGGGGACGGGGAGGAGGGGGACGGGGAGGAGGGAGAAGGGGAGGAGGAAGGGAGTGAAAGCATGGGTGCACATCTATCTACATGTGAGTTTGCCAATGACTTCCACTTCATCACTGACACTCTTCACCTTGCTGCACCCCAGGAGAAAGCACCTATCAATCTAGTCAAGAACAACCTGTCTTCCATATGAGTGCCTTAGAGAATAACATAATGCCCCTATGTTTCATAACGCCCCAAAGTTTCATAGCACACCGGAGCACGTGCTTCTCTCGCAACTCAACTCACACCGACAGAACAATCTTCTTAAGGATGATCCGATCGGGGTCCAGCCCTCTTAAAGCCCTAGTTGCCGCCAGCTGCAGCTCCTCCCCCTCCCACACTCCCTCCCCCCGCGCTCCCTCCCCCCACGCCCTCTCCTGTGTGCTGATTGGCAGAGGACGGATCGGCGAAGACGAGGAGGGGGTGCGGCGGGAAGAGCGTGGGTGCGAAGATGGAAGCTACCGCAAACCTTCCCGGGAGCAGGAAGCGCTCGAACTTGTGCTTGTCGAGGTTGATGTCGTCCGTTGAGAAGGTGGGGCTGTGGGGGGGGGGGGAGGGGGGGAGGGAGGGGGATTGGGAGCAGGGGAGGACAATGGTTGAATGCAAAGTCCAACTTCAAGGGCAACACCCGAATTACTCAACAGAAGTCAACGGGGGAAAACAGGTTTGGGAAAGCAGAGGTTTGAGGTTCGAAAACCTCCCCTAAACCTTTCTTTCCCGAAACCAATAGGAGCGAGACACAAACTGCCTCCAGTTTGTGAAGGCCTCTTTGTAATTCGGGGGCTGGGTTTTATGCTTGTGTTTCTCGATTGGTGCTTGCCGAGATAGATGCCATCCGTTGAGAAGGTGGGGCTGGGGGGGGGGGGGGGGGGTTGGAAGGTGGGAGGGTGTGGGGAGAGGGGGAGCACAGCGCAGTGGTTGAGTTGAGCACAGCACAATGCCAAGTCACAGCTTCAGCTTGTTTCTTGAACTTGTCCTAGTTGATGTCGTCCGTGGAGAAGGTGGGGCTGGGGGGGAAGAGGGGGGGGTTGGGTAGCAAGGTGGGGAGAGGTTGGGGTGGGGGGTTGATGCCGTCCGTTGAGAAGGTGGGGCTGGATGGAAGGATTGTGAAGGGGGAGGGAGGGGGGGACAGGAGGAGGGACAGTGGTGGATTGATAAGGGTGGAGGAAAGGAAACCATCGAACTTGTGATTGTCGAGGTTGATGTCGTCCGTTGAAAAGGTGGGGCTGTGGGGATGGGGAAATGGGGGAGGGGGAGAAGGGGGACGTAAGGACATTGGTTGAATGCAATTCACAGTTTGGCGTGTGGGTGGGTGGGGGGAGGATGGCTAAGCGGGAGCGAGGACCGTTGGGAGGGGAGGGGGGAGGCGAGGAGGGATAGTGACTGAATGAATAGGGCACATAAACTTGTGCTTCACGAGGTTGATTTTGTCTGTGAAGGCGGTGGGGCTTTGTGGGTACGATGGTATGATTTAGAAAGTGATAAGATGTGTAGATTCGGAAGGTGTGACGTGGTGGGAGGAGAGTGGGACAATATTTGAATGGAAATCACAGCTTTAGCCCGTGTTTCAACTCGAGCACCACCAGCGGCACTGGCTGCATGTACCAGCACCATCAACAGCAACCAGCGCTGACTGAGTGTAGAAGCGACGGAAGCCACAGTGGACATGATGGGGGCGGGCTGCACCACCACCACCGACACTCACCACCAGCAAACAACAGTTACACCACCACCACCACCACCACCACCACCACCACCGACATTCACCACCAGCAAACACTAGTCACTGCAAAAGAAGGAGCAGCAGCAGCACCACCACCACAACCATCACCCGCGACCAACACTCAACGAGTGCAAAACCTTCGGAAGCTGCAGTGGAAGAGGAGGTTCTGCTTGGACTTTATGGGGGCGGCGAATGAGTTGGCCGTCTTGACTAAGCCGCTGTTTGGACTTGATGGGGGCGGCGGCACCACAACCACCAGCAACGACACTCACCACCAGCACCCATAATTGACAGCATGTAGAACCACTCACCGCGTGTAAAACCGTCGGAAGCCGCAATGGAAGAGGAGGCGCTGCTTGGACTTGATGGGGGGGGGGGGCGAAGGAGTCGGCCTTCTTGATTGAGAAGTGCAGCACTGTCATGCGCGTCTTGTACTGCAGCAGGCCCGTCACAACAAGTGGCAGCCCACAATTGGTCGACTCATGCGGCAGACGCTCTGAGGAAAGGGAGGGTGGGGGAAAGGGAGGGGATCAGGGAAAAGAGGGCCGGGGGAAGGAACTGAAAGAACCCAGGAAGGAAAAGCAAGGCTCTTGGGGATTAACTTGGTGTTTGTAAATGAAGAGAAGACCACGTAGCCAGGATAATGGAAGCAAGGTGTACAACAAGGAATAGGATTATTGAATAGATCGTAATACTGACCGCCTGCATCCCCACCTCCACGGCCCTGCAAGATGCATGCATGATTGCTCACTCACACACAAATGCACACATTGCGGTTTAAACAGTGCAATGCACACTGCCAAACACATGCACATATCGAAGGGGACATCATCATCATCGATAGAAAGGCTCATAGAGTACCTGCTTCGAAGCATGGCACGTTCATAATGTGCAACCTGACAAACGTCCCCGCCCCAACCGACCCAGGCACCTTGCCTCGATCCACTGCTGCCACCCGCTCATCCACGACCTTCTACATCCTCTTCCAGTTGTCAAAGGAGAAAATGCGTGCCTATTCGGGAGGGAGGGACTCCTTTGGGCGGCAGAGGGAAGGTTGGGGTGGGGGAAGGGGGAGGGGAAGGAAGTCTTAGTTAAGGGAATGTGTGACATGCTGCACTGCTGTCCTCTCCCCTTGTTGCCTTGTGCGTCCTCTTCCAGTTGCCCAAGGAGAATATGCATGCGTACTCAGGGGGGAGGGACTCCTGTGAGTGGCAGATAAGTGGAAAGCACACTGCACCAGACAGCACCGCACACAACACCTTGACACGGCCACAATAGCAGCAAGTAACCCACCTTGGGCAGCATATTGCACAGTACATACACCAAACATCACACCGCACAGCACATCACCGCACAGCACCTTGGGGTCCCACAGCGAGGAGCGGAAGGACTTGAGTCCGCGGTACTTGGCAAAGCGCTGGCGGGCCGGGATGTCGTCAGGTGTGTCCACCTCGTCGGGGAATTCTGGAGCAGACGGAGCAGAAGGAGCAAGGAAATAGATGGGGGAGTGGGAATGGGGGAGAGCGGACGGGGAAGGTGAGGTTGGCAAAGTGCTGGTGGGCCGAGATGTCGTCACGTGTGTCCACCTTGTCCGGAAACTCTGATTGGCGTGGAATGGGGGGTTGGGGACACAGAGAATGGAGGGAATGAAGGATGGGGGAATGAATGAGGTAGCAAAGTTTGGCAATGCGCTGCCGTGCTGAGATGTCGTCAGGCATGTCGACCTAGTCAGGGAACTCTGGAGCAAGCACGCAAAGAAATAGATGGGATGTTGGATGGGAATGGGGGAGCGGGAATGGGCGAGAGCGAATGGGGGAGGTGAGGTTGGCAAAGCGCAGGCAGGCTGGCATGTCGTCGGGCGTGTAGACCCTGTAAGGGAACTCTGGGGTGTGTGGCGATAACAAGGGAGATAAGAATGGAGAGGAATGGAGACGAATGGAGAGGAATGGAGAGAAATGGATAGGAATGGAGAGGAATGGAGAGAAATGGAGAGGAAGCCTCTGTGATGGTACCAGGTTCTGCCTGGAATTGTCTCGATCGATGCCTCCCTCGGGGGACACTCCTGTCAAAATATGGCTTCACTTGTTTCCTGTAGCACAGACTGGCATTCCTGGGTGAATATAGATAGGCACCCAAACTTAGTTTGGGTTGCAAACTAGGGTTTATCCTGGTTTGAGGTTGGGTTTCAAGCTTGGGTTTGGACATGATTCCCCATCAATACTATCAGCTCACTAAGACCACAATGACTGTCCCCTTCCCAGTGACCTCAATGGTCCTGCTGCTGATGTTGACACTGTTATGTGATGCTATCATTTGCATTCACGTCTGTCTGCCTCCCATCATATGTTCGTGCGTTGCATGCGTGGTGTTAGCGTGTGCAAGAATTTGTGTTTGGTGTGGTTTGGATTCTCTGAGTTTGTGTGAATGTTATTTGGCTTGAGCAGATATCTGAAGTGACTCCTCTGCTCAAGAGCTTTCCGCCGAACCAAGTATCGCTTCAATCGGAGCACGAACAAGAAAGTTACGAACGTTGGAAGTTCGTATGCTGTTGATATTTGGTTGTGGTGACTATGGGAAGTTGTGGGGTTGACTCCATAAGGGGTATAGACTTTTTGGGGTTGGGAAATTCGTCAACATCACTGTAGATGCTGCCAAGTGGTTGGGAGGAGCCAAACCAGGTTGGCAAGTGTGGCCAAGTTGGATAAGGTGGATGGCATGGGTTTTTTCGAAGGGGTCAACCCTCCCGCGGGTATCGGCGAAGTTTGCTGCTAATAACAAAACGGTTTTGCCAACAGCCCATGTTTTTCCGTTCACCATGCCCAGTCTGCCCAGGATGCTCAAAATGTTTCATACCCACCACTCACAAATCTTCAACCTTTGGGTTCACCCTTGCCTCTCGTTTGGTATGTTTTTCTGTTGAGTTATTTCATTGCAAAGTTTCCCAAAATTGGGCGTTCATATCTGCCCGTTATTGCTTGTGCGTCCCCTAATTCTACCTCGAATGGGCGGATAGGGTTCGCACGAGCGGTGCCTCCAGTTTGCCCGGAACAGAAATTTCCCAGTAAGGTCCGAATGAACTAGTGGTGATGCGTTCTTGAACCCTTGGGCGCACAAGAAATGCTACCAGGTCCGGTACACAATAACGAGTTGGGAGGCTCGACATGGGTTTTAAGCTCTATCATGCACCTTCCTAGAATATTCCTCAGGGGGCCAAGCATCTTGAATGCGGCAACAGAACGATACCCATACGAGGGATCAGAGATGCGGCCAATCATATGCGACTGGTCGAATAGACTGCCCAATCATATGATTGTTCGAAGGTGCTATTCACCTTCGACCTGACTTCCTCAAATTTTACACCCCTTCCGCGCCATCACGTTTAACCCCCATAATGCCAGCCGAACACGGCAACCCGTGTTTCCGAAGGTGCAATGCATGCGCCGCCTGACCTCAAGGATTTTTCGAGCAGGCGTTTTTTCGAGGCTGGTTAAAAATGCTCAAACGCCCTTAACGCCAGCCGATCTGGGCCGCTGCCACCGTAGTCTCGTGGGTGTCAGGATCCCAACCACTAGACCATTGGGATAAAAGGGCTTGTTTCAGTAGCGGGTCAGTGCGCCCATAACCCCCCAGGCGAACGCGCCTGTGACCCTCTCGAGGATCAATCGGGCATCCACAGTGCAGATTTACTGACACCCCCCCACACTGGGAGGCCCAGGACTAAGCACAGCGGCAACGGCCTACATGTGCATATACCGGGAATCGAACCTGAGACCGCTCTGATACCATGTCAGAATCCCAACCACTAGACCATTGGGATAAAAGGGCTTGTTTCAGTAGCGGGTCAGTGCGCCCATAACCCCCCAGGCGAACGCGCCTGTAACCCTCTCCAGGATCAATCGGGCATCCACAGTGCAGATCTACTGACAGTGGGTTGGATGGAAAAGGACTCGCTATCTTCTTTTTGGTTTACCCTGAATTTTCGTGGTCTAGTCCAGAAATGTTGGTGCAACCCTACGGTTTGCACTCGGCTTGTTGTCCGTGTGCGTGAATGTGTGTGTGTATGGAATGGTATGAGGGCATGGGATAATATATATTTCATGCTTATAATTGTGTGTGAATGTTGAGTCATGATGTCGAGTGTGTGTGTGGAGTCAATAGCGAGTTATCGCTAGACGCGTGTTACGCGGTCGTTTGTGTCTCGCGCGCGGTTTCTATTTTGTCGTGCGCGGTTTCTATTTTGTCCTGTGTCGAACGTTCGGCGTGTCGCAGGTGTGTGCAGCAGACCCATCAAGAACTCAAGGATGAGTTTGTGATGAAGAGCCCGAGCCTTGGTGTCAAGCCTCAAGTGATTTCGAAGCTTGCCAAAAGGGTACACCTCAAGATATTGAAGATAGTTACATTACTTTGTGTAGTGTAACATTTCACTTGGTGTAGGCCCTAGTGAAGGGTAGTTTCGAGACCCTTCGTGGTTGGGGACAGTGTGGCACTGTTCCACATCACTGTACCTCGGCTCTTGGGGTTTGTAGGAGCTGGGAGTCATTCCCAACTCGTAACTCTTCCTATCTTGTGTTCTAAGACTATAGTGGCTGCCATAGTACCGTTCGTTCAAACCGACGCTGTGTCGTCAATTCTTTATCAAATCGTGCAATCTAAATTGCTAATTGTAGACGACGTGAAGACGCTCCAGATCCAATTTGAATCAAGTCATTTGCAGCTGTGAGCAGAACGCTATCAACGTTTGAAGCCGCTGTGCAGAAATCCGTCTGTGCTCTCTATCTTTCGTTTTAGGCACATTCAAGCCTATTGTGACTATAACAACTGGAGGTTCCTTTGGGCACCCGAATGCGCCTGGCCCCACCCTTCCCCTCCTTCCCTCCCCCCTCTCCCAGAACTTTGCTCTCTGCTCTCCTCCTCTCCTCCGCCTCTGCTTCTGGGCCCATGAAAATGAATCTTAAGGAGCTAACCGCTCTGCAACTATGTCAGAAATGAAGCAACCGGAACGAGTACATTGAGCAGCAATGGGGATAAGAGTATGGACCCTAGACGGGTTGTACCCCCTACAGGATGACCCACTACAGCCTATAACCACAGAATGGGTTTTGACAGCCCCAACCCAAGTACACGAGATGTCAAATGCTGTAAAGGTGCTGAAGCGACAGTGCACTTTTGACATCACTAGCGTGGTAAGGGGAAAAAAAAACATCTACCTATCCAACAATGTAACATTTTCCATTACCCTGGTGCTGCTGTGTAGTTTTTGGAAATGTGTTTTTTTTTTCCCATTTATGAGATTTTTCATTACTACATCAACAATCATCATCGGACATGTTAAACAATCATGCTCGTCGTCACTGTCGTCCGAGCTGTCTTGAATTCTCCCTTCCCCTTTTCCTTGCACTGTTTGACAGAGGCAGGTGTTTTCGCCTGCCGTCTGTTGCACGTGCATGCACTCTCACTTACTGAGATTGCATCCAACTAAATATGCAGCTTTGACAGGCCTGAGAGAGGGAGAAGAAAGGATGCGGAAGACAAAAAATGAGGAGGAAACAGACAGTCGCTCCATTCACACTCTACAAGGCATGCACCAAGCTACAAAATGTGGCGGACTAAACCACACATGACATAGCATGCATCACATCACGCTCTCACACCTTTTCGTGGTGGGGTAGGAACGGGCCCTTCTTCGCAGGACGTGCGATGGTCAGGCCCTGCTGGCCCGTGCAGCCCTTGCCGGTGTAGAATGTCACGCTCTTGCACATGGCGTTGCCCTTGCCAGCCCTAGCCTTCGGGGCATCCCATGTGACGGTGATCTTGGCATTGGCAATTCTGGAGCTCAGATCGCTGCACACGGTGGTGGCGCTGGCCTGCTCTGCCGGCACCGAGGTGGAGAAGGTGAGGCACTCCTTGATGTTGCGCCCACTCAGCTGCATCGCCGTCTACACCATCGGGTCTGAACGGCCGTCACGGCAGTTGGCACAGTGATTGATGTGACGATGCCATGGCCGGCCGGTAAAGGTGGGGATGGTGGCAGTTTGTAAACGTTGAGTTGCAGGTGGGACAGGGGAAAGGAGAGGAAGAGGATAGACAGGGGGGGGGGTGCGGGAGGAGTGAGGAAACGAAATCAGCTCAGCAATGTGGCAATGTTTGCTGAAATGTGTTAGTTGTAAAGAAATGTATCGTCAACAGCTCAGCAGTGCAGCACTCACCGAAGCACGTCTTGTCAGGCTCGTTAAAGAGAAAACCGTCCATGTTGCACTCGCACACAGGATCGGTCCCATACGCAGTGCAATCAGCATCGGGGCCACACTCCTTGCCAGAGAACACACAGGTCTGCGAGAAAGTCACGTGTGGTTTTGATTGAGTGGGGCAATGGGACAAATGGAGACGAACATAACTCTTGCTTATGGTTGTGAACTCACCACACATGTACACTCACCCCTACTCGCACACTCACCCCCATTCTCACACTCACCCCCACTGGCACACTCACCTCCACTCGCACACTCACCCCCACTGGCACACTCACCCCCACTCGCACACTCACCCCCACTCGCACTCTCACCCCTACTCGCACACTCACCCCCACTCGCACACTCACCCTCACTCGCACACTCACCCCCATTCGCACACTCAACCCCATTCGCACACTCACCCCACTCGCACACTCACCCCCACTCCAGTGAATCAGGGGGGAGAAGAAGATTGGACGATAAAAGGCTAACGAAGAAAACTTTACAGTTCACTTGGAGCAGCGATAGCTGATTCTAGCCTAGCAACTCTTCTCTTCTGACTGCATGAGAGCATAGCTCACGAGTACACATAGCGCTCCGCAATAGCTGATTCAACCACTCAGCCAATACCACTTCTGACCCACTCCCATGCCACTCCCCACCACTCACCATAGCATGTCTTGTCCGTTTCGTTGTAGGCTTTCCCGTCGGGGCAGATGCACTCGGCAGGGCTGTTGGGAACAGGAGCCATGTGCTTGCAATCAGCATTTGGCCCGCAATCCTTCACGGCACATGCGTCCGCAGGGAAGCTCAAGCACGTTCCGAAGTACATAATAAAAAGGGGGTAGGGGTTTGAAACTTGAGCAAGAAAAAAATGTATTTTCTTGCACTTACTCGCCCACCCTCACGCACTCACCTGCAAAGCCACACCCACCTACACTCGCGCTCTCACCTGCAAAGCCACACCCACCTACACTCGCGCACTCACCTGCAAAGCCACACCCACCTAGACTCGCGCACTCACCCGCAAAGCCACACCCACCTACACTCGCGCACTCACCCGCAAAGCCACACCCACCTACACTCGCGCACTCACCCGCAAAGCCACACCCACCTAGACTCGCGCACTCACCCGCAAAGACACACCCACCTACACTCGCGCACTCACCCACAAAGCCACACCCACCTAGACTCGTGCACTCACCCGCAAAGCCACACCTACCTACACTCGCGCACTCGGAGCACCCTGAGCGTGAGAACAAGACGCGGGAATGGAGGAGGCGAGAGGGGGTGAGGACGCGGGTGGGAAGCGAGGGAGGAGAAGAAAGGAAAGGAGAAAGCTACGAAGGAAGGAAGAAAACCAACAGATTGAGAAGCAACAGCAGAGTCTGACCAACTCTGCATTCATGAATGCGTGAGAGCACAGGTCAGTGATGATGACTTCTGAGTTGACTCAAAAGTCACCTTTGAGAAGCAACGGCTGAGTTTGACTTAGAAAGGTACTTTTACCGAATGTGTGAAAGCACAGGTCACTGATTTTTCTCAGCCAGTCACTGATTCTTCTCAGCGATACCACATTTGACTCGCTCATCTGCACTCACTCGCTCACCACCACTCACTGTAGCACGTCTTATCTGTTTCGTTGAAATTACTGCTACCATCGTCGCACAAGCACTAAATGAGCCATTACGATAGAAAGTGCAGGAAGCACTCGACCCGCAATCGATGCCAGCGCACGAGTTTGCTGAGCAAATTCACGGATGGATTTTTGAAAATGAAATCCGGAAGAGCAGGGGGGGTGAATGAAAAAAGGGTCAATAGTTACGACCTTCCACTTACCTCACCACATTTTAGTTCAAAAGCACAACAACCCAGATGCTATGTGAGAAACAGGAGAAGAGACGTAAAGAGCAAAAGGGTGGGAGAGATGATGGTCAGAAGCATGAAGATGGAAGACAGTGGGAAGCACGAGCGAGCACCCCTTGGATTGGGTGTCATGGTGGTGTCATGCCGGTGTCATGGTGATGTCATACTGGTGTCATGGTGGTGTTACACTGGTGTTCAAGGTGGTGTCATGGTGTTCCATCATCCAGCCTTCTCACCAAAAGCGGCGCTGGCGTGGGTCGCGAGGAAGCTGATGGCAACAACACCCGCGACGACTCGTAGTTCGGCGGGGATGAGGCGAGACACGCCGGATCAAAGCCCGTGGCGCTCCATCGCGACCGATGGGAGGAGACGGCAGGAATCGGGGAGAGGGGGAGGCGAGGATTGGCGCCGATCACACGCAACGCGGTGACTTTTGAGTCGACTCGGGAGACGGGCCGGGGAGACGGCGATCAGCGATCGATCTTGAGTCGACTCAAAACACGATCGATCACACGCTACAACGTCAAATAATCTTCGGTCTTTTTCGCGTCCCGAGTTGACGTGAGCCGCGGCCCACATCCCTTAGTTCCCGCGGCTTGCAAGCAACGAAGTGAGAATACTAGGAAGAGACCTGGGACCTAGTAGGTGCGGCCTCGAAGGTGGGACTCGGGCGAGGAGACAATGGAGAGGCACGCAATGGCAGCAAGAAGCTGCGTGAGAGAAAGGGCGACTTGCGACTGCGGCTTTGAAAGCGGGCTTTTGATTTATGTGCTGCCGGAATGAGATGGCATTCGGAATGCCGGCTTTCGGAGTGCCTGAAAGTCCAGGCTTTCGAAGAAACATCTTCCGAACACCAGATCTCAACCTCACAAAGAATAAGGGGCCCCTGGAGGGTCCGAAGTGCATCTACGGGCGTATTCGTAGCTTCGTGTCATCCGAGCTTCGTGTCATCCGAGATCATGGGGTCCAATCGAAAAATCCAAAGCTTGAAACGCGGGTTTCCGAATTGGCTCCCACAATTTCAGATGACACAAGTACGGGATGACACGAAGCTAAGAATACGCCCTATGTGAGGCTATCCACCCTGGAGGTATGTCAGATGTATGCCTGAGGTGTGCAAGTTCAATGTCACAGCCATGAAACCCTTGCCCAAAAATTGACTGTCGGTGCGCGTCGCGCGCAAATTTTGCTGTTCGCGTCCAGGGCGATGTTCGGCAGCCAGGGGAGGGGGTTTGATGGAGGATCAAAATGCGGGACCTCCAGGCTCGACCTGTATGAACTAGGCAAAACACTTCGGTCAGGCTAGAAAAAAGTGAAAAAAATGCCGACGTGAGCCTAAAACGCGACGGGAATACCACGCTAGATAGTAGCCCGCGCCGCATCCTCCCCCAAATTCTCCCCCATGGCGGAAAAATTCCACCCTAGTGCCCAGGGAATCCAAATTGCACTCCCGTGAGTGGCCTCACCCACGGGGGGATGTAAAGTGGATTCCCTCATCCACGAAATTGTTTTATGATTGTACTCCGCACTCTAAACTAACGGGTAAATCGGACATCGGAAATGTATTGCAAAAAAGTTGTATTCAAAATGATATCAATAAGGTCATCTAGGTGAGTACGACATTTAGGACATTCATTTTAATTTATGGTGTTAAATGTTTTCGGGTAGTGATATACCCAAACTAGTCGCAACAGTAAAATGAGGCAAGGAGAAGAAAAACTGTTCAGCACGAGAAGTTTCGTTTCGTGCAGCTGCAGTTTCGTGAGCCCCCGCTTCCCTAATCGCTCATCCGCGCCTTCCCCCCCAACCTTTCCGCTTGCGCCTGGACCCCGGACTTGGAGTCAACGCTGGTTGACTCCCATTTGACCAGCCCAAATTAAAAACCCTAGGTTTGAGTTTGGATTCCGCCCCCTCCCCCTCGCTGTATCCCGTGTGCTGCCGAACATCGCCCGTAATAGGATTTTGCGATCGCCTGACATGTCAGAGAACTGACGACCTGACTGATTTTTCCTGCCCCAAAAGCAGAGAAGAGTGGTGCGTTTCATCGCGGAAAAGAGGCTCGCACAGCGGCAGTGCGCAGCAAGGGGTGTGCTTATAGGGTGATTTCCGCAGCCCGACAACGTTTGCATTGGCTCTGTTATGTAGGCTCCGGCGAAGGGGGGGGAGGGAAAGTAGGTAGCTTCCCCATACTTCGTTTTTTGGGTTTGGGAGGCGGTCAGCCCGGAAAGTGGTGCCGAGCCAGCCACTTTCCCTCCGAACCTATTCGAGGGAAAGTGGCAACAGAACAGCCATTTTCCCTCGAGGGTTTGAGGGCCTAGGAAGCACCCAACTTCCCCTCCACACCTTCCGCCCCTGGCAAAAATCCAGGCCCTCACCTTGCCCTGCAAAACCCCCTTTTTCGAGGCTGGGCGACGACCAACGGACGGATGTGCTGGGTAGGGGACACCAACCTCCTACCCTAAAAAGTCCCTACATGATGCAGCGCTTAACCCAACCAGAGAGGCACCTCCTCTTCGAAAAAAAAAGATCACGCCAACCACCATCTTGCACGAAGTGAAAACCCTAGCATGTTTGGTCACCCCTCTCCCTGCCACTCCCGTTGGTTTTTCCATATCAGAACACCCTGACGCAAATTCAAACCCTCGGTATCTGTTTTGTTCAGTCTGGTATACCCGAGTCCATCAGGCGCGAAATTTGGCCTGTAAATTGCTTGGCCCGGCAATGTTTGAAATTGCTTGGCCCAATGCGGCCTCTGTTGTTGGGGATGCGGAGAATCACTCTACAACGGTAGTGAGCTAGACTACGGGGTTGGCACGAACTACTAGAGGTGATCGTAGCTTTAGTTCCTTGCGCATTCACGGGAGTAATGACAGAATTGATTAAACAAGCAATGACAGAATGACTACATCAGGCACCTAGCAACCATGCAGCTAGCCTGGTCGACCGCCAGCACAGCTCGGCCGACCGCCTACCAGCGTTGCGTAGAGGAGCCGCGCCAGCACTGCGGAAAGGCGACCTGCCAACAGAGCAGGTCGACGGCGTGCCAACGCTGCAGCAGAGCGGCTGTCGAGCGTTGCCCCGTAGAACACAGCAGTGCGCACGCTCGCAGGTGCGCGCAGACGATTGGCCCGACTTGCCTCGTTGGGCATCCGTCCGCTGGGATACCAGCCCGCAGTCGCCTGCACCATCGCGACCTCGACGACGTTCGCGTCCCTCTGCAGAACTCGCCGAGCAGGTTACCCGGTCGACCCGGTCGACCACCATGTGCTTTTGGTCGACCACCACTACTTCTGGTCGACCACCAGGTCCCTTTGGTCGACCACCAGGTGCCCCTGGTCGACCACAGCTCCTGTCGAGCTACCCCCTGGTCGACGGACCCCTTTCGTTGACCAGAACAGTCAGCGGTTGTCGCCGAGCTCCCCTCGTCGACCGCTGCTCACTTGTCAGGTCGACGGACTGCTCCGTCGACCTCCCAGTCGAACTGCAGGTCGACAGAGACCTCTTGGTCGAGCTGCAGGTCGACGGAGACCTCCCGGTCGAATTGCAGGTCAACAGACTTCTCCTTGGACCTCCCGGTCGAACTGCCACTCCTAGTCGACGGCCCACCCGTCGCCCAGACCTGTCAGTTGCAGCAGTCGAGCTCCCTGGTCAACAGCAACACCACAGCGGTCCCCGGCAGCTTGACAAAGCCTGTCGAGCAGCTCTCCTACTGTGAATGGTCGGCTGGTACTCCCATACACCCAACCAAGTCGTCGGCGTTGCCCAAGCGAGGGCGGGGCCAACACTCCACTCCCGTTAATAGGGGAGGGGGCCCAGTTCTCGGCCCCTCCCTCTCCCTCTCCTAACCCAATGGCTCTGTTCTGTA